ACCGAAAAGTGCATGTCACCGTGACATGCATGTCACCGTAGCAAATTCCAAAAAGTAAACCTCCAGTCTCATAACACCTTAATTTCTAATCAAATTCGAAGCTAGTAGTACTAGTGTTAACTAGGTGATCCCACCCGCATTATGTTGCGGGAAATTATGTGTTTTTCAAATTCTATTATGAAATCCGCTCAAGAAGAAAATTAAAAAATTGAGGGAAATTTTATCTTGTTCATCATAACGTACGGTAAATCTGTAATTATATTTAGTTTGTTTTTCAAGGATTACCTTAGCTTGTTATATATAGGAATCGTAATGGGTAAGATTAGGGCGGGTATCTCGATGGTCCAGATTGAGTATTTTGTCGTGGAATAGGGGTCCGGGCAGGTTGAAAGTTGATACAAATGGGTAAGTACTTTGTAGGCAAAACACAAGAAATATTTATTTTCTTAATTAAAAAATTGGGAAGCAAATTATGACACGATAATTGTAGTTAGATTTTTCACAAAATTGGGACTCTCGCGCTATTTACAACTTTATTTTAGCTAAAATATGATGTAAAGAAAAAAAATACAAATAAGTAAAATTATATATAATTTAAACAAAATGGCTCAAGAATCAGATTGGTCAAATCGAATGAACAACCTATACCCGTCACCTAAAAAACAATTTGATAAACCAAACATAGATATTATAAACTAAAATTCTCCCTTATATATTACCATACATATTTACCAAAAGATAAAGCTCAAGGATAATACTACTAACAATGAGGCAAGCATTAAAGGTGGTACACATTCATCAACAAATATAATGTTTGTTTACCTCCCTGCTTCTCTTGTCAATTTTATTTAAGGGACCACTCATTTTGTCTTCCTGATTTTGCTTTGGCTATGGGTTGTACCCGTGAGTTAGTCATATTATTAGGCAACAATAACCTGCATTTAGGTTTATATATATATATATATTAATAATTGCAATGACAAGTGTTCAAAGTGTATTTTCAACTTTGAATTACATAAAAAATAAGTTTAGAAATCAAATAATTAAGCGAATATACTGCATTGAAATGATCATTTCAAAGTGTAGAAAATAGATATATTTTACATTCCTCAATAGATAAAAACATGTTGTCGTTGCCTATGAAATCAAAAATCCTTTCAACATGGTATTTCATGTTGTATAAAACATGAATTATATGAAGCTTGTGCATTCTTCAATATACAACCCTTCTCTTTCCTTCTTTCGAATTTCAGTAATTGTCTTGTTTTTAAATTTCTCTTCATGGACAAGGCCTATGATTTGAAGGGCATCAACAGACAAGTGTCCTTTGATTCTCCAATCAAACACAAAATATAGTTTAACTTCCCAATTAATGTGTGCACAATTTTTTTTCCTCACTATCTTAAGATCATCCACCAAATCTCCAAAATTCCTCATAGCATTTTCCACCACCATTACTCTTCCAAAGTAATTATTCACATGCTATTCTTCCTCCATTTCCAACATTCATAATCACTTCTAAGAGATTGCAACTGAGCTCGTTGAACCCTAGCACTCAACTGATACTTTGTATTCATGAAATTTCAGAGCTCCCTTGCAGTATCCTTATGAGTGATTGTCTTTATGATGTTTTTCGACAGAATCAAACAAATAGTTCTTAGCTTTGAGATCATCCAAAGCATTAACATTAGATGCAAAAAGCTCAACTCCCCCAATTCTTTTTGGATTGGTGGTCAATTCATAATTTAAAGTCCGTGTAGACGAAGTTAACGTAACTTAATTAGTAATTAACTCAGTCATGACAAACACCATTTACACGTGACCAAGGTCGTTAACCCGCGGGTCGACCCACTTTGACCCTGGTCCGGTGAGAAAAACGGGTCACATGCACCTGCCAGGTCGACCGTTACAAGGTACTGGGTTTGAGGTCAAATTGTGTCATTTTTGTATTTGGTTTGCGAAATGCGCCTATTTTCCAATTTTTCTTTTCGCCTAACTCAATCTTTGGAATTCTAAGTTGACCATTTGAATATTGATATTATATAAGCGTGTGTGAATTTTCACTATATGTTAAATCTAAGTACGCCATGTTATTTTAGTGTAATATTATATGTTATAACTCATATGTTAGATGAGATTTGATATAATTTATGAGGATAAGTACAATATAATGACTATTTCCATATTTCCGGCTAAAACGGGTGACCCATTAACCCTTGACCCACTAGTTCGACCGGGTCCGGATCAGCTTGCGGGTTGACAACCTTGCACGGGACCTATGAATCAAAAACTCTAATATTATATCAAAAACTAAATCATTCTGGTTACTAGCTCGTCAGGAAAATCACTAATGATGTAAGTACAAATTGATCTGATGAGTTGTTGAGTTAAGTAAACGAACAAATTAAGTAAATATACTGAGTGAGAATAAAAAAAATTTGAGTTTATATTTACAGAGTAGCATAAATACATCATCATAGAGAGTAGCAAGTGGGAGGGGGCTGTTATGTGGAACATGGGATCCATTATTCATTCTACCCATAAGTGTGAAATCTCGTGGAATGATCAAAAAGGGGGAAAAAGCAACACTACTTTGCTCATGGGACCAGTACAAAGTTGATAATTAATATCCTTGTACATTGGCATCTCTTATTCTATCGTCCAAATTAAGGAAATGAAACAAACGACATGTTGTGCTAGATAGGTCACTTGCTACTCACATGGGCAATTGAAGTTTGGCAATCTAGAGTGATTTTTGTTCCACTTTGGCCTAGCAGCATGACACAGCAATTCGTATGTTGATGTCGGACCACGGAAATGTTAGTGTTTTACTTAGTCAGGGACTTGACGAAGCGGGTACCATAATATTCATATGCATATAATATTTTATGTGGGTACAAGTTTAGGTAAAAAGAAATATTGCTGAGTTATTAATGGGCAAGTTTGATATCTTCTAGTATGTGGTTACAGTAATAATGTGTAATATCTTTATTTTGCCATGAATTGATTAAGACGCTTTTTTTTTAAACTTAGTGAGAAAAATAATGAGATTAATCAACTCAATTTTCTAGACTTGCAACTAAAGAATGATAACATTACTTTGTAAAGGATTCAAAGTGGCATCGACACTTGTAAATTGGTCAGATTTACGTGATGGATAGTATTTTTATTTGACAAATCGATACAAGTCGAATCATCATGTGAGAAATGTCATAATTGTCATCTCCATGTACAAGACCTTATATAAATAAATGTTTATGTCGTTGGATCGTATGTCCCACAAATCTACAGCCATAAATTTCCCATTCTTTTTTTTTTTTTTGAAAGAAAATCTAAAACCATAATTATATACACTAAATGACAATTTTGTTACATCTGATTACAGGCAGCGCTGTTCAACTAAACGCCATAAGCATGTACTTGCACAGAATACCATAACCAAATTCTATGAAGAGATCTGAGTACATATATAATGCCAAAAGTATGGGAAGATTATTGTTTCGTGGTAGTGCTCGTCACGGCGTCACCCGCCGACCATATCCCAAAGAACCCTAGGCCAAGGGGGACAAAAGACAAAACAAAACAGAAACTCAAATTCTGAATTCTGAGCACACACCCACTAAATTAGGGATCCAAGGTGAACTTTCACAACAAAGCAACCCCAAGTCCCAACTTTTATGGTTTATTCTTTTGCTCAAAAGCATTTTTCCAACTGCAAAAAATTTCATCTTTCCCAAATCTTATCTTTGATTCTCTTCCCATGTACTAAAGTTTGGCTCATAATTTTACCACCACCCACCCTTCCGCACCATTGACCCCTCCCTTTTACGTATATCTTGCACAACAGAAAAGCTAGAAATAGCAGATACAGATAAAGAATCATTGGTTCATTCATTTCCCTTCTGCCTTCTCCATATCATATACCCACACCCTGTTATTCCTAGTGAAAGATTTCTTGATGTTCATGACTTGTGAGATTCATAAATGTCAGGAATAATTGAAGAAATTGAGGCTTCCCGTCACCGAAAAAAATGACGGCATCAAAAGGATCACAAAGTTGCCACGTACTTTTTTCTTCTTATTATTATTAGTAAATGATCGCTACATTCTCATTCATTTATAGTGCTATCAAAGTTTATATTGTTTGTTTAACCATAGTTGTTACAAAGCGTCGGTTTAAATAATACAACGGGCTTGCACGTAACTTCCTTTGTCGTTCATTGTAGCTTGGTCTACCGTCTGTCATTAACAGTAGGGGTGGGCATTGGGTGGGTCGGGTAGATTTTGACCATAAAATGCACCCACCCGCGCTTAAACGGATTGATAATTTTTAACCCACCACCCACCCACATTTACTCTCGGGTTGGGTCGGGCGGATGGTGGATGATTTGGGTGGGTTTGTGGGTTCACCCACATCACAATGTATATAATATAAAGGAGTCAACTTGACATGATAATAGGCGAAGAGAGTTATCTGGGGAAACAAGAAGATGAAATAGCGCGAAAAATATCGAATTAGTTCTTAAAATGGATAGAAATTCTATTATGAAAGAGTTTGCTACAGATTGAGATGATTGTCAGGTGCAAGGAACTAAGAAAAATAATTCCACAAAGGAAAGAGCAGTGATCTAAGCACAAGAATTAGAGGGAAAAATAAAGGGAAGAATAGGGGATCGCTATTTGGAAGGTTGGCTTTGAGGTTCAAACTCCAGGAGCAGCCCTAGTTTATGTCTAACATCTCCACTCTCCCCTCTCTAGCGCCGACGACTTTGATCTTTCTGTTGTTGGGTTGAGCGGGTCACCCGCGCACCCACCCACAACCCATCCACCACCCGGCGGATGGCTCCCAGCGCAACCCGTCACCCACCCATAGACCCACCCACTTAACGAAATTCGGGTCAAATGCGGGTGGGTCGGCCCAAACCCGCGGATGATCCGCCCGCATGCCCAGCCCTAATTAACAGTGAAGTTTAACTTGCCAATTAGCATCAAATTAAATTACCTATGCCCATTACGGTGGTTTATTCCTCATCCATACGCCACCTTCCAAAGCCAATTACTAAAAATGTAAATGACAGAAAGCGACATTCACGACTAAGCCCAAAAAAAAAATTTGCTTACGTAATACGTAGTAGAAGTAGAAACGTACATTGTTAACACAATCCTTGAAAGCAACTTAATAATAATAATAATAATTACAGACCCACAAACTTAGCTTACGTAACAAATGGTACCTAAAATTAACCACTCCCCCCCAACTACTACCCCCAAAATATAATCATCATAAATTAACTCCCTCAAAACAATCCCAACCTGTTAGGAGATGAGTCATTGATCACTAAACCCAGCTAATCAGTCTTCTTTCTTCTTTAGTACCGAGTCGGAAGCTCGCACTCCCCATATTCTGCAATTCACCATTTCATATAATTAATTAATACACAATCAATTCGATTATTTAATATTTACCACAGTCAAATAGTCAAACAGTCAACTGACGCACTAAAATTCTACCCACGTCAGTAAAAACAATATTGTAAATATTTGAAGACGAAAGATTCTCACTATCCCCAACGTGATACCGTACTCTTTTGACCTCCCTTCTGACCACCTGGCGTGCACTACCTGGATCCCACCATTTTCCTTTTCCCCCCCTCGATTTCCCACCCTACAGTCTTATACAGCTCACCCGGCGCATTTTAACATTTACCACAACAGACAAAAAGATAGCGAGAGAGAGAATGAATGAGTCTAGAATACGCACTGGGTGGTTGGGCGACGACATACGCCGCGCCGCCGAAATAGCAGGAACCGCCGGCGCGCTCGTTCCTCTGGTAATAGCTATTGAACGCGAAACTAGCGTGGGCCTCCACGGTGTTCGGCTTGAAGCACGCCGCCCCTGGCTGGATCTGCCGGCAGTCGGCGCCGCCTTCTCCGCAGGCGAAATCGAGGGCAGCCTGCAGCTTCTCCTCCCCGGCCTCCCCACTCGCTACGCACCAGGTGTTCCTCGTCGTGCTCCTCGACACTCCACCTCCGGTGACCGGAGGAGCGGTGACATGGCCGCCGCCGGTGGCCGGAGCTCTTTTGTCCTTGTATTTCTTGAGGCCTTCTGATGTGAAGGGGATGTCGTAGACCTTCTCTTCGTTGGGGTAGAAGAGGCCGTAGTTGCGCTCCGACGTCGGCCCGTTTTTGTCGTCCTCGTTGAACAGAGCGAAGAGGTAGACCGTCAGATCTGCCTTGGGCCTCAGAGGGGTCCCACCTCCTGTCAAGATCCGACGGACGAGATTGCCGTTGTAAGCAGCCGCGTTTGCCACGCTGGCACCGATCTCGGTTCCGTCGCCCTTGGAAGGCCATCCCGTCTCCGAAACCACCATCTCGATGTCGTCGAACTTCAGCGCCGACATCGCGGCGAACACGGCGTCGATCTGGGCGTCGAAGAGGCTGAAGTATCTCAACCCGTTGCCGGCGTCGACATTGCCGGGATTCTCCCTGAACAGAGCGTAGTCCAGCGAGATGACGTCGGAGTTCGCCTCGTACGCGAAGAACGGGTAAGCGTTCACCATCAAGTACGAGCCGGTCTCCCGGAGGAACTCCAACATTGGGCGGAAAACCGGCTCGACGAGCTCCTGCCGGAACGACCCCGCCGACGAAGGGTAGGAATTCTGGAGCGCGCTGAGAGCGATTGGGGAGGAGACCTTGATGGTGGAATGGAGGTTGGATTTCACCAGCGCCTGGTGGATGTTTCGCATTGCCTGGATCAAGAACTTGGTGGTGTTGTGAGTGTCGACGAACACTTCGTTCCCGACGGCGATGGCTTCGATCTCGGTCGCCGGGTGGTAGGCGGCGACGTTTCTCTGCACCCACGCGGCTGCGAAGGAAGGCTTCTTGGCGGCGGAGGAGAGCATCTCGTTGGGTAAATCGACGGTGACCTTGATTCCAGATCCGGCTAGAGATCGGAGCACGGACGGGTCGGCATCGAACACTTTAACCCGGCTTAACCCTTGTGATTTCAGGAGCTGCACGACTTTCACCGCCGACGGGAGGTTGTCGGCGATTCTGCCGTAGTTTACCCCGATAGAGCCCCCATCTGCAACAAAAAAATAAACATTATAAATCAGAGTAAGAAAAAAAATTGGCCAGAAAGGGAAGAGGGGTCACGGAATCGACATTATTTACCTGCGAAGAAGGGGGTGAAGAGAAGGAGTGAAGCGAAGGCGGAGAGGAAACGAGAGGGAGGCGCCATTGCTCACTGGTTTTTCAGACTTGAGAGAGAAGAGGCAATGGAGTGGAGAGAGTGTGAGTAGTGCTTTTTTACTGCTTAGTGGAGCAGAGAAAGTGGGGGGGATGAGAGCAGGTTTATGTGGGAGTTATAAACAAGCGGAAAATAAGCAGAAGAAAGAAGAATGGAGGGAACAAAACGACGGTGCGTTTTGGTAAGCTCGAGAAGAAAAATATGGCAGATAGTGACAAGAATTTGGCTTTTCTCTCCATTGGCATGTGATTTCCTCTTTTGCCTCTGCTGTTGCTGTTTCTCACCATTAGCATTTGCTTCTCCATGCTCTAATATGTCTGTGTTCTCTTATCTGATTAGTGGAGCATAGAACGTGGGGGATGAGTGAAGGTTTATGTGGGTGTTATAAAAAGCGGAAAATAAGCAGAATAAGAATGGAGGGAACAAACGACGGTGCGTTTTGCTTAGCTCGAGAGAAAAAGAAGTGGGACCCACACATGGCAGATATTGACAAGAATTTTAGTCCATTGTGGGACCATGATCTCTCTCAACTCTCAAGTTCTCTTTACCACACGAGTTACAGGACGACTATGGCTGGGATGAGGCCTCAGGTTGTTTCAAAATCCAAACCAATAGTACTTATTAAGGCTTATAAATGGTTAGTCAATTATCGATTTTAATAAACGATATAATGATCAACCAGTAATCAAGATTTTTAAGTCGGTTTAGCTTGTTGGTCTGGTTGACCATGTGAGGTGAGGGTTAATGATCCGATCGTTTATGTCTGGTTTAGCTCATTAGTATAATCATATTATTCCGAATTAAGTCTCAAATGTGTTTTGAGAGTCAAAACTTGAAACCACCCCTCTCCGACTCTCCTTTGCAGTTGATAGAGCGAACCTCGCACCTAGTAGTCTTTGTTTGTTTGATGTTTGTGAATGATGATGACCTTGGGTTACTTGTGTTTGATATATTGCTAGTCGGTACCCATTAATTCGATGAAGATGTTTGATTATTTTTAATTTTATGTGCTAAAATTTCAATTATGAATTCATTATAGATAGGATTTGTAGCAATCATCAGTAGGTAACGAAAGTGAATGGTAAGGATACAAATCTTTAACTCCAAAAGGTCTTTTAACCATAGAGGCCAAGTTAAGGGAGGTAGGCAGAAGAAGCGTAGAATTGTATTGATGTTGTTTATTATATTTTATGTTAATAATGTAGAGGTCTAGTTAAAATGTTTGAGATATTTGTATGATTATATTTTATTATAAAAGAATGCAATAAAATTCAAAAGAAAAATATATCACTAGAAGGTTGTTATTGGTTAGTGGTTCCAAATTAACCACAAACTGAACCAATAACAGGGGTTAACCGATAAAGCTTATTGGCTCAATTTTTTATACGCATTTTTTGCTTGGTAATTACCTAACCCTAAACTGATTTGCACCCCTAAATTAAAAGAAGAAAACCAATTATATTGTCATTACCACTAAAAAAATGGGCAATAATAACTTTTACAAATTATTAATATTATTTAGGTTTAGATATGAAATAACGTCTGGAGCAGGAGCGCTTTCCCAAACTTTACCAAACATAAAAATAGGATCAAGAAGGCGCTGGCAGCTCTTCAGTGTATGCAACGAACCCAGGAGGTGATAATGCAGATGAAGCAACTCGAGGAGGAGTTGGATGTGATTGAGTCGAACGAAGAGGAGTACTGGAAACAACAATCAAGAGTTGACTGGCTGAAGGGGGGTAACCGCAATACCAATTTTTTCCACCGAAAAGCTTCAGCGCTCAGAAAAGGGAATACAATTAAGAGATTGAAGGATGAGACAGGCGGATGGGTGTCGGGGCAGGAGGAAGTGTTCATGTGCTTAACTAATTATTTTCGTGTCCTTTTTACTGCAGGCGCCACACCTAATGTCACTCTAGTTTTAGACTTTATTCAGAGTAACGTCACACGGATCAGAATGCTGAGCTGAATAAACCTTTTGACAGAGAAGAAGTATTCTGAGCCTTGAAACAAATGGGGAAGAGAAAATCCCCGGGGCGGATGGAATGTCAGTGCTTTTCTTAAGAAAGTATTGACACATCATCGGGGATGACGTGGTCAATACAGTATTGGGTATATTGGAGACCTTGGGAGATGCACAACCAGCTAAATCACACACTTATCACTCTAATTCCTAAGGTGAAATCTCTCACGACGCTAAAGGAATTTGGACCGATAAGTCTGTGTAATGTCCTCTACAATCTAGTCTCGAAGGTGCTGGCGAACAGAATGAAAATCGTACTGGACAAAATCATATCGTCGGAACAAAGTATTTTTGTGCCCGGATGGTTCATCGCAGACAATATAATGGGGGCGTTTGAATGTTTTTACACAATGAAGAAGAAGAATAAGAAGAAGGTTGGTCAAGGTTTCTTTGCAGCTAAGATAGACATGACCAAAGCCTATGACAGAGTAGAGTGGAGATTTAAGGAAGGGGTGATGGTGAAGATGGGGTTCACGGTACGATGGGTACGATTGATCATGATGTGTGTGACAACTATGTCATATTCCATCCTGGTCAATGGACACCAATCACCAAGCTTTATTCCGGAACAAGGTTTGCGGCAAGGGGATCCCTTGTCACCGTACCTATTCCTACTCTGTGCTAAGGGAATGTCTGCCTACACGAAGAAAGCGGCCGAAGACAATCTCTTTCATGGCATCCAGCTGGCAGCCAGGGCCCCAACGGTATTACATCTTTTTTCGCTGACGATGTTTTTTTTTTGGCAAGGCAAATGTGCAGGAGAGTTCCAAGCTCAAAGAGATCCTCAAGGCCTATGAAACATAATCGGGCCAATAGATAAATTTCTAGAAGTTTGCAATATCATTTAGTGGCAATGTCTCCACGCATCAACAACTGATGGTGAGCGGCACACTGGAGATGGTGATAGTGGAGAAACATGACAAATATTTAGGTCTCCCTACTATGGTGGGATGATCAAAGAAGGAATTTTTTCATAACATCAAAGAACGAGTGAGGAAGAAGCTCAAATGGTGGAAGAAAAAAGTGCTATCAGTAGCAGGAAGGGAGACACTCATCAAATCGATTGCACATGCTCAATTTGCCTATGTCATGTTAGTCTTTAGAGTCCCACTGACAACCCTCAATGAAGTTCACAGTATGATCCTTAATTTCCATTGGGTCCTGAGAGGGGAGGAGCGAAGAGTACACTGGGTCAGCAAGGAAGGAATGGTAGTAGCAAAGGAAGAGGGAGGCTTGGGCTTCTAGAGGGCTTTAAACATGTTTGTTGGAAAAGCAGTTGTGGCAGCTGTACCAGAGTGATGACTCGCTGATCCGAAGATCTTCCATGCGAAATACCACAAGAATGGTTCCATTCTTGATGCACAAGTCGACCACAATCCCAGCTTCATTTGGCGAAGCTTGTTGAGTGCTCAAGAGTTCTTGGTTAGTGGGCTCCAATGGCATATTGGTAATGGGTCGAGTGTCAGGATTTGGGGGAATAACTGGCTTCCATCTGGGGAGGTTTAATTTGTTAGCTCAGAACCAAGGGGACTGCCTGTGGATTCTACAGTTCGCGAACTAATCTGCATCGATGAAAAGAAATGGGATGATAACCTCCTGGCAGCTGCTTTCCCTCCGAAATTGCTTCTATCATCCTTCAGATACCGCTACGCGATACCATGGAGAGGGATAAACAAATCTGGAATGGGAGCAAGAATGGTGAGTTTACAGTTAAAGAAGGGTACCACAAGTGGGTTCAACACTGAGTGAACATAGGTCTATTGCCGCAGGTGGGGGAAAATGAAATATGGAAGAAATTATGGGCGATGAACGTCCCGCCAAAAAACAAAAAAACATTTCATGTGGAAATTTGCGCGGAAGATACTCCCAATGGGAGACCAAATAAGCACTAAGAGTAAAATTCGGGGTGTATCATGCAGCGTGCTGGCAGATTTGGCTCGAGAGGAATAGAAGAATTTTCCAGGGCACTCATCTGCATTCTAGAGTTGTTACTCTCAAAGTATTAAGAGGCGTTGTTGAGTGGGCCATTGCTTTTGGCAAGGTGGACAAGAATTAAGGCCTACAGTGGATCGAGATTAAGCTTCAGAGTTCTTAGTTTGCCATGAGCTTTGGTTGTTTATGATTTTTTGGTGGTCTTATTGAGTGGTTGCTTTGGCTGTAGTGCTGCTGTTTTGCTGGTGTTCAGTGTTGTTTTCTCGGTTGGCTTTATTTGGGAGTTGGCTGGTGTCTGTGGGCTAGCGGGAATGGTTTGGTCATTTGGCTAGCAGGATGGCCCTGCCTTCTGCTTCTCCGCATCTGGGCGCTTTTTTTCCTCTTCCTTTTCTTTTCCGTCTGTCTTTTTTCTTTTATTATTTTGTTTGGATTCCTTGGCAGTTTGGTTTGACCTCTTGTGAACCTCCGCTCCTCAGATTCTTTGTGTTTTCCTTTGTTTTCCTTCAATGCATCTCAATCACCATATAAAAAAAAAATAAGGGGCGACAGATGTGGTTTCTACGACAATAGGGAAACACGAATCTACTTCTTTGTCGAGTATGAATGGGCATCTCGTTTGTAGAGAGGGTCAGACGTGGTTGGTTGCTTTTCCTAGAGGGGGGATGTCGATTCTTACGAATGGGTGATGAAGGTGACAAAGAGTGAAGAGGATACCACCTTTGAGGTTTGGACTGTGCTCCTTGGTCCTCATATTTCCGCCACTAACTAATGGATTGTTACGAATGGATGTCGATTATTACGAATGAGTTTGTTCGTCGACCAACAGGGTTAAAACAGGTCAAAACCAGATTGAGACCAGACCGGGTCAAAACCGGACTGTACCCAATCCAATCTTTGATCCTCATATTTCCACCACTAACTAATTCTCGCTCCCCCCAACGCACACAACAAACTCAACCCCGTAGAGCTCGAAACTTGAGATTAATTAAGGTGTTTGCAGCTTGCCAAAGTGGAAATACAAGGGTAGACAAAAAAACGTAAAAAACAAAAAAGAGTTGATATAAGAAACATATGCATTAATAGCTCTCTCATTGCGACATAAATGCAAAGATTCTCCAATAATTAATTTGATAATAAAATATGAGTTGGAGTATAAGTATGAACTTGGAACAAGTAGGTGCTCCTTTCGATTCCGAGACAATCACTGATGACTTCTTCAGTAGTAGGATCCAAAACAAACGCTTTGCGATTACTATCTCCAATCTTTTGTGAACAGATGTATTTACCATCCTTCCAAACTTCTAAGGTGCGGTTCATTGCCGGTGATTGAAAGTTAAATAGTTTAGTCCAAGACTCACCAACTCCATATTTCATCAATCCCCATATATGAAACTGAGTGATATCCTCAAAATCAACAAGATCGAAAGTTGTCACGAATGCCTCCTTTATCATAAAACAAGATCCAGAATACCAGCCAATAGCACTTAGATCAGCAGGTACAGGAATAGTCTTGACTTCAAACACTTCTTTGCTCATGTCAAACGAAACAATACCAAAATTTCCATCATTCGTCGAGTACGACCAATAACACTTCTCGCTTCGTGATGTACTATCGCGATGAACATAGTTGGGTGCGTACCCAATCAAATCAGAATTGTCAGTTAGTCTCTTCCACGAATCATTCCTCAGACTATAAACCTAACCACAACAAGCAAATAACAATGAAGAAAAATCAAAACTTCCCACACTGGTCAATTTTGACTTTACAAAACGTTGTAGATTATCCGGTCAAGTAACACTTGGCCAATCAAATTGAAAGTAGTGGTTCGAATTTACCTCTTTATAAGTAAACGGAGGAGGGCAGTCAAGTTTCTCAAGATCATCATCATGATCATCACCGTCGTCTTCAATTCCCTGAAATTTCAACGCTCTGACAACTTTGAAGTCGCGGGTCAGGGGATCAAAACCGAAACCGGTGTACTCACAGCATACGCGGAGGTACGGAGGATGGGGACAAGGAGAAAGAGGTAGGAACTTGGTCTCGCAAGTCGTCGGATTCCACAGAATGATGTCGGAGGCACCGCCATGGTTCTCGTCGGAGATGCAGAATATCCCGTCGCTATACCCGACGATGGTCAAACGGAAAGTTGACCACTGAGTACGCATCTTGTAGGGGACGGAGGGCACAGTACCCTCGGCGGCGGCGGCGGCGGCAGAGATGGGGCAGAGGGTGTCGTAGGAGTGCAAGGAGTAGTGGATCTGCTTCTGCTGGACAGGGACAGCATCTTCTCCACCGGCGATTAGGACTTGGAGGGATTGCTGGTCGGCGGGAGTTTGGAAGAAGAGGATCCTGCGGATGAATTGGGGATCTGAGAGGAGAATCCGCCAGGATTTGCAGACGCAGCGGAATCGGAAGATACATGAAGCGATTGGCAATCTGAGGAGAATGTTGATCACTATGTCTTCCGTGAGGAAGTATGCCGGAGACTCGCCGTTGCTTTCCCCGGCCATTCGGTATGGCGTAGACTAAGGAATTTGAATATATGCTCAACGGGAAGAATGGGAGTGGGTCTCTTGAAATAGTACTATGTTTTCCTTGCTGTCCACTCTTTCCAGCTTTTTGGTCGCTTGTTGTATTGATGGTGGTGGTCAAATGTCAACGATTAGGGGAAGAAGAGGAAATGGTCAAATGGAATATTGGGCAGCAGGTTGCATTGCTGGTGATAGTGGGAATGGCAGTGTGCAAGTGGCGCTGGATTGGGTGGATTGACCAATTGATTTGAGTAATTCGCGAACATAATAAATTTATATATGTATATATGTGAAAGGGATTAATCTCATTAGTCATTACCTTGAGACGAATGTAAGAGTATTTTTTTAATTATCCACGTGTCACTTGGTAACAACGGGGCCTACTAAATCTGTGGGTCACCTGCAATTAATTCGACACAAACATGCCTTCACCCCAGCACAGTAGCCTTATACCTCAGAGAACACTAACAGACCTTGTTTGGATTCGAAACTGAAATCTGCAACTCCTAATCCTTTACTGTCGCGGCAGCTTTACCGTTAGTCTATCTTACCTTTGTTGACGTATGAATATTTTAACGCTGCATTAAAACTCATTTCTTGTATATGATTATTGTAAAATTAATTTACTATGTTGTAAATAAAATTCTCATTAAAATAATTCATATTCCAAAAAATAAACGTATAGTTTCAATTCCGATCTCTCTCTGTCATTGATATCAAAGCATGATGGCCTTATTATGAAAGGAGAAATTTTACAATGCTATATAGTATTGATGCTATAGGTTTTTGCCTTTATGGTACAACTTAAAATTTTACATTTACGTTATGGTACAACTTCAGATTGTACCTATACTTTTGGTACAAATTCTTTTATGGTACAATTTGAACTTGTACCTTTATGTGATGGTACAACTTCAAGTTGTAAAGTTGTATCATAACATAATGGTACAAATTGCTTTCTGGTACAACCTAAACTTATACATTTAATGTTATGGTACAACTTTAAGTTGTACATTAAAGTTGTGATCGTAGGTTCGACCCTACAAAATGTTTAGCAGCCTTGCGAGTTATCTTTGCTCTACTCTGCTAAGTACTTCTTCAGATGGATGGTGTTCCATGTCTTGGATATCAGCTTCCCTTCCATTGTGGAGAGCACATATGTTGTCGGCCCAATCTTTTCTCCTACGAGGAACGGTCATTCCCATATGGCGGCTAGCTTGTCGTGCCCCTCCTTTTGATCGAAATCTCTCTTCAGTACCATGTCGCCTTCTTCCAACGGTCTAGGATGCACCTTCCTGTTGTATGCCTTGGCCACCTTGGACTTCTCTTTGATTGCTCATACTAACGCGGCATCCCGCTTTGCTTCAACCATATCTAATTGGTGTAGTAGTTTCCTATGATTTTCCTCCGGATTGTAAGCTTGAGGGATGAGAGGACCATCTCTGCTGGTGCAAATGGTGTTTTGCCAGTTGCCTTCTTGTAGTTCGTGCGATGCGCCCACAGTACGTGTGGCAGTTCGGCGATCCATCTTCCTTTGGCATCCTTTTGCCTTCTCTTCAATCCTCGCAAAATCAGCTTGTTTGACGACTACACTTGTCCATTGGCTTGGGGGAATGCGGCTGGGGCCAATCTACAAGTAATGTTGTTCCTAGCGCATAAATTCTCAAATGGCATGCAGTCAAACTGGGTGCCATGGTAAGTGATGATGGTATTAGGCATCCCAACCTTATCATAATGTTGTTGAATAAGAATTTCTTGATTTTTGTGCTGCAGATGGTATCGAGCGGCTGAGCTTCTATCCACTTTGTGAAGAAGTCGACCGCTACCACCAAGTACTTATTTCCTAGAGGGGCGGTGGGGAATGGTCCCAGTAGGTCTAAACCCCATGGTGCAATGGCCATGGATCTGTAATCTTGTTAAGCGCTTCACTAAGCAGATGCTGCTTGTTGGCGTGTATCTGACACTCATGGCATCCTCGTACCATCTCCATCGCATCCTTCTTCACCGTGGGCCAATAGTACCCTTGCAGCAGTATGGTTCTTTCAAGGCTCCGCGGTGCGAAATGTGAAGCGCACATCCCCTGGTGGATTTCTTTAACTATTCACTTTGCCTGCTCTGGTCCTAGGCACTTTAGATATGCCCCTGAGAAAGATCTTTTACATAGTTGCCCCTCCACCATTGTGTAATGAGTTGCCTTCTTCCTTAGCGCCCTTGCTTGCTTGGAGTCATTAGGATCCCAGTTGCTTTGCAAGTAGTTGATAAGCGATGACCGCCAATCAATGCTCACGTCCTCTATTGCCATCACGTCATAACTTGGCATAGCCTCCTTGGTCACTGTCACCTGGCGCTCTCCCTCGAAGTCCATTGTAGTTGCAAGCTTTGACAGGGCATCCGCATGATGATTGTCTTCCCGCTTGACATGCTACAACATCCACGTCTCCAGTTGTGAGAGAATGCCTCTTACCTTCCCTGATAGCTCGGCTAGTGCTTCTTCTTTGACTTCGTAATTCTCTAGCACTTGAGTCAGAAAAAATGTGGAGGCATGAGGTGCCCATTCCTGTAGCGATTCTGAGTCCACTAGGAGTGCTTCATATTCTGCTCCATTATTGGTTTTTAAATCTTGGAATCTGTGAGAGATTTCTTGTACAACTCCTTTGGGCATTTCGATAACAATTTCTGCTCCCGCTCCGCCTTTGCCAGCGGCTCCATCAATAAAGAGCCGCCACACTTCTTCTTTTTCTTCCTTCAGGGCTTCCAAACTAAAACCCTCCGCTACAAAGTTTGCCAACACTTGTCCCTTGATGGAAGGACGAGGAGCATACGACATGTCGTGTTTGCTCAAGTCGATCGCCCATTTAGTCATTCTCCCTAATAGGGGTGTTCAAATGGTTACCGTGGTAATAACCAAACCAATTAAGTCTAAATTTTATTAACCATGGAAAAAATGTCTTAACCAAACCGTCCAAATTAACATGAAAACCAAATTAACCAAACCAAAGTTTATTTGGTTTGGCTAATCGGATAATCGGATTAACCAAATAACATAAACTTTATATGAAAACAATTATCCTGTTAATGAATAAAACATAACCATATGTTATTACTATCATAAACTATCATTATATATAAGCAATAATAATATCACTAACCATCCATGATTCATAAATATTAAATACATACCAATACCATTCATCAGAAAATTAAAGCTCTCCTACAAAACACTTGAACTATACATAGTTTGAGGTGGCTGTCATGGTATTGCACGTAATCCTAAAGTCTAGTGGCTGTCCAAAATGTTTTGGTTTAGTAAATAGGCAAACCCATTTAATTTTTGACCCATAACGCTTTGGTTTGTTGTGCACATGAAAATAAAATAGGGAATCACGAAAGTTTGGTTTGGTTGGTTCCATGGAAGTATAAATAAGTTTGTCTATTAGGTGAATCATTAGTTGGTTAATTGGTTTCATTGGTTAGCAGTGTTGAAACCAAACCAAACCACCTAAATCAAATAAGCTAAATTGTTTAACCAAACCAAACCAATTATCCAAATTAACCAAACCAAATTAACTGAATACTACCGGTTAATATGGTTAACACGGTAACCAATCCATTTGAACACCCCTACTCCCTAATACGTCCATCCCCCTTGGGATTTTCTTTAACGATAGGTTGGAAAGTACGGTGACCTGATGCTCTTGGAAGTACAACCGTAGCTTCCTTGCGGCCAAGACGATGGCTAAGACCGCCTTTTCAATAGGCATGTATCTCTTTTCTGCCGGCATGAGTGCCTTGCTTACGTAATAGATAGGTTGATCTGAGCCATCCTCTGCTCTGCGCACCAATACTAAGCTGAATGCTTGGTCTGAGACCGAGAGGTAGAGGTATAGCGGCTCTCCATGTACTGGGGCGCTTAAGATTGGTGGTGATGCTAACTGCTCTATTAGCTGGAAGAAAGCTCGATCGCATTCTTTGCCCCATTGGAGGCGTGATGTTGATGTCTTCAGCATTTGAAAAAATGGTGAGCATTTGTCAGCAGATGGAGGAATGAAGCGACTCAAGGCGACCATCTTCCCATTGAACGCCTGGATTTCTTTGACCGTCTTCGGCGATTTTAGATTGAGTACTGCTTCTATCTGCTTAGGGTTTGCCTCTATCCCTCTGTGGGTGATCATAAAACCAAGGAACTTTCTTGCCTTTGCGCCGAAGACGCATTTCAGCAGGTTCAACCTGAGGCGCTCCTTCCTCAGGTTGTCGAACATTTCTCTCAAGTCCTCTAGGTGATCAGCTTCCTTTTTTCTTTTGACGAGGAGGTCGTCCACGTATGCTTCTACGTTTCTTCCCAGCTGCTTTTTGAAAACCGCATCAATCATCCGCTGATACGTTGCTCCTGCGTTCTTTAGGCCAAATGGCATGACCGTGTAGCAGAAATTCCCCATGTGATTCTTGAACGCGGTCTTCTCTTGGTCTTCTTCCGACAGCCTGATCTGGTGATATCCGGAAAGCGTATCGAGGAAGCTCAAAGTATCGTGGTTAGCGGTCAAATCAATCAGCTAGTCGATTCGCGGCAAGGGGTATGCGTCTTTGGGATAAGCCCCATTGAGATTTGGGAAGTCGATGCACATCCTCCAAAACCCCGACGCCTTGTGAACGCAGACAGGGTTGGCCAGCCATGTTGGATATTTTACCTCTCGAATGAAATCAGCCTTTAATAACCGCTTCACTTCTTCTTCCAAAGCCATCTGCTTCTCGAGGGAGGTGATTCTTCGCCTTTGTTGTGTTGGCCTGGCTTTGGCTTTTACCGACAGACGGTGCTCCGCAAGATCTCTAGAGACTCCGGACATGTCCTCCGAGGATCATGCGAAAAGGTCCTTGTATTGTTTGAGGAGCTCCAGTAGTTCCCACCCTTTTTCCCCGTGAAAGTGAGATTATATTCTTACCTTCCTGTCAGACACCTCTTCATTCAAGACAACAGTTGCGTC